CAAAGTCATAAAGTTAAATAATAGAGGAAGCAATAATAAAGAAATTAAAGGAATTGGTAGAAAACTACAAAAAAAAACAAGAATAGTAACAATTTAATAAAAAGAGACCAGACTAGTACCAATCAAGAACTCAATAAGAATTGATAACAATAATGCAAAAATAAAAACATCTAATAACAAAACCAATAAAGAAAAAATATGAAACATTATAGGCAAAGAGAAAGAAGTGGAAAAAGGAACAGTAAAATCTAGACTAAAATTATTGTTTAATAGAATAACAGGATATAGTAGACAATAATACAAAGTTGGAACCAAGGCATTAAAAGTTTTGAAAAATTATACTTGAAAAAAAATTCAATTTGTTACAAAGGCTTTAGACAGTTTTGATAATCTTTTTTCAATTATGTAAGAGTTTAAATATATTATAACAGTTTAAACAATAAGTTGTATTCAAGTCAAAAATAAAACCACAAGTTTTAAAAAAGATAATTATTTTATTAACTTAAAGACAAAAATATAATTTGAGTTGTTACAAAAATAAAAAGGTTCTTTTTAAATAACTATTCTCTATTATATAAATAATTTATAAAAATATATAAAAACATATATTATTAATATATATTGTAGGTTCTTATTAATTTTTCCAAAAGGTCTTATATATATACTATAAATATAAAATAAAAAAAATAATAATATAATAAATATTGCAACCTGTAGATTCATAGCACAGTGGTTAGTGCTCTACAAGTCAAATCACAAGATATCAGTTCAACTCTATATGAAGTTAGTTGAATAGAATTAATATGATATCTGATATTATAACTTGTTAAAAACACTATTTTTTATAAGAAGCTATTTCACATACTGATTTAGTAGATATTGAGATTGTGATTTCTAGAAAAGGCATCATGGTATAATAATTATCTGATTCTTAGGAACCTAAAAACCTTAAAGATAATTGATGCAGTAGAATGAAATCTTTAATTGAAATCTACCCAAGTTTGGAAGTTTTGTTTATTCTTCAGTTGTATAAGGAAAGGCCTATGGCAGTTTTCTTTTTTTGTTCTTTTTCATATCTTTTTTTATTTATTATAATATAAAAACTATTTACATTAATACTATTATACACATTTAGGGCTCCTAATAATATTACTTTAATACTACTTCGATACTAGTTCAATATTTAAATTTACTATAAAATCATATGATTAAGTCACAATCCATATATTAAATTTATTATAGATTGATATCAGTTTAATGCCAGTTTAGTACTTTTTGAAACCCTATATATGCTAAATTAAATAAATACTTTTCAAAAAATATACTCAAACAGAATTATTGGGTCTATAGTTTGTTTTAATATAACCTTTATATATAACTTCACTATAGCAACACTTACTATGCCATTTCAAAATTTCCAAAACTTTTTGTCCAAAAAATAGAAATCAATTTATTCCTTTTAGATAATTGTCACTTTTCAATCATCCAATCAGATTTCATCAATACAATAAAATAAAAATCAAATCAGTTTAAATCAGTTTTTCAATACAATAAAAATAACAACTATCACAATATCAATCAATATCAATTATACTTTACTATTTATATTAACAAGAAATATATCTCTAAATCTAATATTAATATAAGGGCTAGACTATTAGTTTCCTTTCAGATATTTTTTTTGTTTATATAGATTTTATAATTTAATCTATATAGTTTTGGTACAAGTAGCTCATATAATTGTAAATCTAGTTATATATATATATTTATTTTTATTTTTATTTATATTTTATTAAATTTTTTGAATAAGTAAATATAGTTACTACTTTCAACTATATTTTGCATATAGTATTGTTTTAAATTTTCTTTTTTAATATTAGCCAGGTATAAATAGTATAAGCAAATTCAAATAAAAAAATAATATTTACCTATCAGAAAAAAAAATAATTTTTATTGAAAATTTTATAATCTTAATCAATATGTTATTTATTATTACTGTTTTAATAATTTTTTTATTAATATATTTTTTGTTTTTATAAATTAATTAAAATTAAATATTTTTGACAAACTTATATGTTTAATAATTAAAACAAAAGAATAAGTCTTATAATATTAGTTATCTTAAAGTTGCCAAGTAATTAAATATTGTACTTGATATAAAAAAATTAATAAAATTAAATGATATTTTGATTAATAATTTTATTTGATAATATAAAAAAGTAAGTAAGATAGCTAATATTATATAATTAGTTTTAAAAAGAAATAAATCTTTTTTATCTTTATAATATTTTCAAATGGCTCTTTAAGTTTTTATTTAAAATGTATAAAAGTATCTATATTTAATAAATAAATAAAAAATAAGTTATATAATGTTTACTTAAAATAATTTTTAATATAAAAAATATTTACTTTAGTTAAATTAAATATTGAATTTTTTTTTATAAAGATTTTATACTAAACCTTATATCTTTATTTATAATTTTGAAACTTGTATTTTTGAATTGCTTTTTAAAATTTATTTTGTTTCAATAAAAAAGCTCTTGATATAAGTTTTTAAAATAAATACTTATCTATTAAATGATATTGTATATTAATAAAGATATTATTATTTTAATATTTTTAAAATTTTATATGCAAAAATTTGAATCAATAAATTTATAATAAAAAAATATTATGATTAATTCGTATCATATAATTTATATGATTTATAGTTTAGGATTATATTATTAAAATAATAAATCTATATTTTTAATTTTGGTTTTTTTAAAAAATAATGTAATATTTCTACAATCAATACTATTGGATTATAAAATATAAATAATTTATATGAATTTGTTTTTTAAGTTTTTTTTTGTTTTACTAATATATAATGTATTAATACTTTATATTGTTATTGAACATATAATTGAATATATATTTAAATTTGTTTATATTACTAAAAAGAAAATAAAAAGCATAACAAAATATAAATAGTATTAGTAAAGAGATAAATAAGATTAAATAAGATAATGCTGAATAAAATAGAAATAATAGGATAGAATAAACAGAATGTATTTTGATTATAGCTTTGTGTTCTTTATATATCTCAAATAAATAATAAAGTTAAAGTTAAAGTCTAAACTTACTAAGTAATTGTTTAATATGTCAATCCCTTGTAACTTATACTGTGCAAACAAGATAGGGTCAGGTTTTCATAAGGGTTGGCAAGATATAAGGTTTAAGAGTAGTTTGCTAATTGAATAAAGTTATATTAGTCAAATCAAAACACCTCAGAAGTTAAAGCCTTTAGTTTATTAATCTTTCATTGAACATTACATAAGCCAAAACCTGAAATAACAATAAACTCACCAATTGTCCTGTAATACTACTGTATATAAAAAAATTATTTCTCTGTTTCAAAAATTTTTTTATGGTAATAGCCTTTAAACAAATCTTTTTCTTTTCTAATTTTTTCAAGTACACAGTATATTTCTAACCCATCATTTTCATTATTAAGTTTACAACTTTCTCGACAAATCAAAAACAAATTTTCATGTAATTTTTTTTTAGTAATTGAAACAGGAAATATAAATCTTCTTTTTCAACTTGGAAACAAATATAATTCAAAACTATCACCATTCTTGATTTTATTAATTATCTTAAATATTTTCTTGTTATTAAAGAAAAAAAAAATATTTCTAATACCAGTAATTACCCATGACATCTAAATTATAAACTTTGAAGAAACTTTTAACAAAAAGACAAAAACCATATGGTCAAAACAATGATCTAAAATCCAAAAATGAACCCTTCAACTTTGGTTTTATTAGCAACATTATCAATGAAACGAAAAAAGTTCGACTTTACACATTTAAAAATTTCTTCTCTCTAAGAAAAAAAACAAAATACCTTGTAAATTTTTCTTGAAAAAATTCACTTCCGGGTATCACGAGTCGCATATTGGAAAATATGATACAACAATCGAAATTTATTGGCTGATATACAATGAATGATAAGTGTTAATCATGATGTTTTGTCCGTAACATTTTTTAAAAACGATGCCACTAAAACCGAAAAAGTCTCGGAAAAAAAAAGTTACGGGTAAAGTACATGTATTTTCGAGCATTGTTTGTGAAGAAACAATCCATTTCATTTAATGAAGAATATGTTCCATAGAGGACGTTTCACCTACTGTTGCTGGTACATCTGGCACATCTGGTACAACCGCAAAAGGCAAAAGTGTCGAAATATTTAGAAATGCTCCTCCCCTACGAACAGAGCTATCTAGTGGTAGATAAGTTAATTATAAATATTTTTTAAGAGGAGTCATTCATTACCTTTGCGAAAAATAGGTCTCGAGGGCTTTCACATAAGCTCCTCGTCAGCCCCTTTTAAAATCTGGATCAAGTATGGCGACAGCAGACCAGTTAGGCCTACTTTTAACGGAGAAATTGTAGATGATTTGATAAGAGCGATCAAGAAGGAACTACCAAATCAATTAGACGGTATTGATGTTAACCAGATTAATTTAAGAAGACATGGTGAAGAAGCAGACCTGGATCCTGAACTTGCTGTAGACCAGAGCTTCAAGAATAACTCAAGCACACCTCTACAAGTCATTGTAAATACATCCGGTATGTATCGGGAAAGAGGCGATAATTAACAAGTTAAAATAGTGATATGTTTTGCGATATTAACTTTGGCTCTTACTACAGTGACATTAAAACGTAAACGTGAAGAATCAACAGAAGATTTAGATAAGGTCGTAGAAAGCGCGGTAGAGAAAGCATTGTCTCGGAAAAAGCCTGCAGATCAGATCTCAGTATCCAATCTTTTTGAAACAAAGATTGATAGAAATCTTGGAATAAAGTCTATAAATGTAGGTACTATTTTTTCTGTATTATTATTTAGCGTCTTCGACACTTTTATTGTTGATTACTTATTACTTAACTATTTTCTAGTTATCAGAGGAAGACTTCAAACCACTTCAATCCATATTATGTCAACCGTTCGTATGGGACATGGAAAGGGAGGAAGTTCAGCAGATGCATGATGTTAAGACATGGATTAAAAATTCACTAGGGTTATCAAGGAATTTCCGTGTGAAAGATATCCATATTCGAGAAGCGAACGTCACTTTAACAGGTGGCGCCGACATATCCATTGGACCAACTGAAACGGATTGCGTCTGGATTGAAGCTAAGAAAAGAAAAGAGGATTTTAAAAAAGGTCAAGCCATGGGAGAATTGTTATTATTAGATAAACTCAATCCTATAAATTCGATGACTGTCTTGACGGATTGCAATGATAATTGGAATGTTTTCTTTTTCGTGAAGGTAGGAGATAAGAATGAAAAATGCATAGTAAAATCTAAAATTGGTGACCGTGGTATTGCCTTGGCGGTAATTAAACTGTTTGTACTTGAAGAGGGAAACAACCTTTTTAATTGGTTAGGATGGGATGTTGAATATCAAGTAAAAGTCGACTTACCTGCACCTCTTCAAAAGAGAACGAAGTTTTTCGAACATATACCTGAAGCTTATAATGAAGACAGAATAGCTGACATTGTTGGTGACATGTCAAGACAGGAATTATTCAATATGGATATTCGCAGAGGGTTAAAGATGTTAAGAAACTTATGTAGATTAGATGAACAACCACAAATAGATCGACTTATTAGACAGTTTAGTGATGATTATGAAGATCCACCACCACTGATGTAAATATTTGTTACGTTCTGTATTGTCAATAATCGAATGGCGAACTTTAGCAATACATTACCAGATATACTTCTCAGAAAAATATCACATTCATTATAACCGTTATGAACTGGATATTTGTCGCGATGTTAAATATGTTTAAGGAGCGACGAATTGTACGCGCATTTGTTATTAGTGAAATTCAATACGTTCCAGCTTTGTAGTTGGTCAAACACATAATCATGTCTCCTATCGACTAGGCTACGGGTAAGCATTGAATCAACTTAAATGTCAAGATAGTGATAGTGACGCAGAGTAAGAAATTATATTTAGCGAAAGATTCGCCGTATTGACACGTGGCATTTTTAACAATAAATTTGGTGAGACACATAATGTTTTGACATTAATTTTATAGTGTCAATGTCACCACCACTTCTAGAGATACAGTATATATCAGACAATATGAATGGACAACCACTAAATACAGCATATAAAAACACTCAGAAACTATAAGTTGTTATTCAATTTAATTTGATATATGAATGCAAAGTAAGTTTGTGAAGTTATTTCATTTATTGATTTAAGATTATTTACAGAAATTTTTGATATCAACATGATGAAACGAAACTAATAAATCAAAAGTATAGATTTCCTTAATAAATTTCATGATTTTGTTGGATACATGTTGCTATTTTTTGCAGCATCTAGTGCACAAATCGGCGCCCGCAGCAATAATAGTCAATACATTTGCAAGAAGAGACCAAAATTCATCTCCAAAAGTCAAAGTGGACTGATTTTGACTACCGCTACTACCTGACTGTATTTTCGAGCACAAGTAATCAAACTCTGGGTGTAAATCTGGAAGTTAACACCGAATGCCTCAAAATATTATAAGAACAAAATTCTTTACGCACCTGGAACGGTGATGTAACCTGTTGAATTAGTATCTGACGCGCAGGCGAGGCAGCTATTTAGAAATTTTAATATATTATGTTACATGTACACATTCGTTTATTTTGATAAAACGTAAGTGAATGAATGCGCTTACATTTTATATATCTGTTGGTTAGCCTCTTGGCAAAGACATTTGTAATCTTTATCAGCCGGAGGGTTCGTGTATGGCAAAAGCTTGCTAGGAATTGCGCTATCACACTGACCAAGTGGGTCAACTTCATTGGAACAAAGAATACAATTTTCCGTATCAACGGGCACTTGAAGAGTTTGTAAAAGAAGGCAGAGTAGTATTATCAGAAGGCACCATAAACGTATGCAGCTCTCCAGAAATTTCATTATTAAAATGTTTATAACGCGACAGAAAATTGACTGATCGCTCTTAAAAAGAGTCAAAGTAAAAACTTGATTTTTTTCTTCGAATAACTTTTACTGTTAATACAATCGCTCAGATGAGTCAGATATGTATAAATATTTTACGGCAACCAAGTCTGTCCTGGGTTGACGGATACTTTGTTCGAACGATGTTGGTTGCATAATGGTCTAAATGAGTGAACGAAAATGGTAAAAACATCATCCGAAAACCGTTACTTTATACGCATAATGTAGCACAGTACGAAATGAGAAATACAAAATAGGGCATATACAATATCGAAATCAATTATTTACAATTAAATTTCTCTTGTGCAAATATCTTCATGCTGGAAAGAAATTATAATTATAACATGATGAGACGCGTGTTGACGCAACAAAATAAAGATATACTGCATACCATCAGAGCATATAACGCTAGATCATGCATCTTAAATGAGAAAGTCAAAACTTCACGTATATGATAAAGAGTCGTTCTTTTATCTTTTGAACGAATCTAAATTGCGGAATAAATCGTGACTGTATTTACAGTAAATGCTATCCTCTATGTAAAATTTTCTATTCATATTTGAATTTATACTTCTTATAGTTTACAAACCAGTCACTAATAAATAAAAATTTACAGAAATATTCATCTCCACGGGCTGTATCTTTTACGAATTTCTAAGCACCTTCTCGCATTTCCAAGAGTAAGTGACTCTACACATATAATTTTTACAATAAAACTCACATTATTGTCTATAACGGCAATCGCAAGTTGATTTTAATTTTCAATATAATCTTTTGTTTCAAAGAAATATGATTCTTTTCCATGCCCTTTCAGAAATAATAATGGTGTGTGGAAATACGGTACTGTACAGTAATTACATACGCATGATAACCGATCCTTACGTTATCTTTATACAGTACTGTAGTACAATACTGTCATATACAGTACAGTATATACAAAACGGGCTGTGATGAAAATCAAATTTTAACATTATCGCTATGAGTTCGGCTTTCCTTGAAAATTTATCTCAAGACTTTTTAAAACTTTTTGAAAATAACGATGAGTACAATGTATTTATCGAGATAGGCGAAGAACCTTTTAAACACATATATAGAGCTCACACCGTTATCCTATGCTATCGTTGTCCATATCTCTATGACGAGTTAAAAAATATTAACTATGATGAGAGGAATGTTAAAATCGTTAAAAAACCTAAATTCTCAGCAAAGTGTTTTGATATTATTATCAAGTAAGTAGCCAAAGTAACAAGTTATTTAGGTAATACATATGTTAATAAAACAAAATGGATTGTGTAGATATATATACGGCGGAATTATTAATTTAGAAAAGGTTGAGACCTCGGTTATTTTTGAGCTCTTAATTTCCGCAAGTGAGCTCGGACTTAAAGAATTATCCAAATATGTGGAATCACATTTGATTGAACATCATGCTCCTTGGCTACGACTGAATTTCTCTCGAATTTACCAAGCCAGTTACAGGGTCGATGAGCTTATTATGCTTCATGAATTTTGCAATGAAGTTATTGTGAAACATCCTGGAATTATATTTGATTCAGATGATTTCAAAAAACTAGACGAAAAGATTTTTCTATCTATTATCAAACGAGATGACCTACAACTTGAAGAATCTAAAATTTGGGATTTTGTTATTAAATGGGGAATTTCACAAAACCCTACTTTACCTTCAACTCTTGAACAATGGAAGGAAACTGATTTTCTCACCTTGAAAAAGTCTCTACAAAATTGTTTACCATATGTACGATTCTTTCATATTCCTGCTGAAGAGGTTTTTCTTAAAATTCTTCCCTATCAACAAATTCTAGAAACTCAACTTCGGAAAGATATAATGAGTAAGGCTATGGCACCAAATCTTCCAATTTCCTCCATGATTTTACCAGCCCGAAAATTATTAAAACAATCGCCTGTTGCAAATAATCTTTTTTCACAACCATTGAAAATACCTTCTCGAATATTAACCGATGAGCATGTGAATGAGATAATATCATGGATTGAAGAAGATGTTCCACGCAGTGCTGGTGAATCTTATGAATTTAAATTACTAGATATAATACAATTAAATATAAAAAATTTATTAGTTATCATAAAGGTCTCTGATTCAGATGAAATACTTGGTGGATACAATCCTATTGGCTGGTCAAGTAGCTCATTTTTATCTAAGACTTGGGGTGAAACCAAACATAGTTTTATTTTTTCTTTAAAAAATGGAAACATGAACAATTCTATTCTTAGCAGGGTAAAAGATGAATCCTGGGCTATTTCAAGATACTGTTCAATGATCAAAGACCGCTTTAACTTCGGAAAATCCGATCTATCTATTTATAAACTTTCTTCGCAATCTTATGAGTTTTGTTGCAAGCCAAAATCTCATGAATACCCAATTAGAAATACCGAGAATATGTCTCGTATAGATAAAATAGAAGTTATTCAGGTTATTAAGAAATGTTCTGGATAGAATTTTTGACGTCTCAATAATCTCGCAGATGCTATCCAACTTCTGTAAAGACAACAAAATGTGTTGTGAGAAAATTATATCACTAGTTTTTTAAAAAACAACAATGAGGGTTTTTTATTTACAGTATAATCGAAAATATTAGATAAAAATTTTATAAAATAAAATTTAAATAAATTGTATAAAAAATTGATAAACAAATAACACAGAAAAACATAAGGCTTAGTGATAGATCAAAACTTGATCTTTCAAATAATTCAAAAAAAAGAACAAACATGGCATTAAAATATTTATATACGTAAGTATATTCATATCTGATATGTAAATACAGTATACGTACACACACATACAATATGACCAATGTTCTTGGGCAAACAATTACATTTTATTTAGATTATCATCGTTATTATTGAGAATTATTCGAGTTATAACGATATAAAATTATGTACATCTCGATTGTTTATTGTAAGGTATGTATTGTTTTCACGATAATGTACAGTCAAATAGATTTTTTGGATATTCATGTGTTAAATATGATTAAACAAAGTAAAATAATAACAACGAATAGACCAACATTTTTAATTAAGAAAACTTTGCTGTTGATTTGTTGCCTTCCTAGGATAGAAATGATCATAATTGTGTGCTTTAAACGTTAGAACTTTCCTGATATATGTAAAACTTATTATTTCTAAATACAAATACATTAGAATGTACAAAATAAAAAATGAATGAATCAATGTAAAGCAATAATACAAAATCAAAAGTAATTTAACATCATCTTATGTAAGGTATATAATATTGATAATTAAACATATAAATTTCTCAAGATACTCTTATCTTAAATTCTTTGAAGAATCATTATGATAAGTTCGAGGCGGAGGTGTTGACCTCACATTGTTTGGACTTGGGATGCCTAGTTGCCGGCAATCATAACAGTCGCACTGGCGATCGTGTAATGGAGCATCCCCATAGCGTGCTTGATCGAAATACTTCAGAATTAAAAAATATGTTTAAGCAATTTAACTTTTGGACTTAATAACAAAAGAAATAAAGAATCCCGACTCAAATTATATGCATATTCATATATTTACCCGTTCATCTCTGTAACCACTTTGAGAACGATAATTTCCACAAACATTATATTGATAATCTCCAGTACTTCGAGACAATGTTGGTGAGTTAATGCGTGAATCACTCCTCATCCCGCCAAATCTTGAAGTCAAGTCACTAACCCGGCCTGATCGTGGGATTGGAAAGTCCCGAGGAGATGATAACTAAATGCAAAAACAAAGAAGATGTTAATCTCATCTTGTCCGTCATCATTCAACTTTATATATATATTCCCACAAAACACATTTACTAACAGGTCTTCTTTCTTCAGTCATCGACTGGAATCTATCACGAATATCCGCCACAGATGATCCTGATCTTTCTAGATCAGTGTACGTCCGGTAAACGTACGGGTCGTGTCGTGGTGGCGACCTATCTCGACCGTAAGGAATTGGCATTCGCGTTGGATTAAAATATGATGACCCATATCCATCATCTGGCTCTCTGCGTTGGCGATATCGTGGATCAAAATTAGGATCACGAATTGATTCTTCATATCTTCTCCTGTCCCCATAAGGTTGCATACCGTAATCCAAATCATAATCACGGTGAAATATCTCTCTTTTCGGATACCGATTTAGTTCATCATATCGTCTGTCATCTTCATATCTCGGTAAATCATGACGATAAAGCTCACGATAATCTTCTTTTCTTATTGATACAAACTCTCTATGATCATCGAGATTATGTTTGTATTGATTTTCCTCTCGAAAACTTTCTTGGATTAACCTTGGTGATTGAACAGGAGAGCGGCTATATGATCGGTCATCTAAATTAAAATCATTTTCGGGACAACTTTCAAACGTCTGTTGAGGTTTTTGAAGCGGCGACAGACGAATTGGCAGATCTGTAGGAAAAGACTCCACGAGAGAATCGGTGCCAACGCTTGGAACAGTTCTTAACTCTTTCTCCATGATTACTGGATCTTGGTTTTTTACATCTATTTCTTGTACGTTGTTTTGCTGTGCATTATTTCGTTTCTCAGTATCCGGTGGCTCATTTTTTTGTATCTCAATATCCGGTGATTCATTTTTTATATCTAAAATAAATTGCACCTCATTTTTGAGTTCTACAACTTTCGGCTGTTCAATTTCATCCCGATTGGATTTCTGCGCCACACAATAAATTTCCTCAATTAACTCTTCAGTTTTCAGATCCTTTATCTCCTTCTCTGGGGTTTTACTAATCGGAGGTTTGATATTATCGGCTTTTGAAGGAACAGCTACCGGCTCATCTTTACTGACGTTAACCTTGGAAATATTTAAATCGAGACTTTTGCTACTAACAGACTTTTCATGAGGCTCTTGTACTTCCAGACCTTCATCGACATTTCTTTCGTCACCACGCAATGTCGAGTCATTGCTACGCACCGTAGAATTACTGTAATCGGAAACAGCCTTACGGCTTATTGTAAATCCTTCTGTAGGCGGTGGAGTCTCTGATATGAGATATCTTTTGACACTAATAGGCTTATTATCTACCAATGGCATGTTATTCATGTTGTCATTTCCGTCAACCTTTGGAGGTGTTTTGGTACCAACATCCTCTTCTACTTTGAGCTTAGTCACACCAGGCTTAAGCGTCACTTTCTCTACCCTATTTTCCGTGTACAACTTGGCCGCATTTACCTCCACTACCTTCTCATCTCGAAAAAATGGGTGATCATCAGCGTGAACACCGATTGAAAACCCCGAAAGCAGGTCCGATGCAGATTTATTGACAGATGGTTTTACGGGAGAGACTGGTGATACAGGAAACACAGGATATGTTGATGGTGTTATTTCTGGTGTGCCTACATTACTTCCTTTTGGGGTTTCCATCAAAGATGGAGAAAAAGGTTTCGTGGCTATTGGGGTGATGACTTTTGGTACAGGCATTTGGACATATTTTGTAGGAACATTGCTATCCGGGTCATCATTGATTTTTGGTAATGCAGGATCAGGTAAAGTAGACTCTGGAAGAGAAAAATTCATGGCAGCAATCTGTTTTTCTGAGATTGACGCAAATGTATCGGATCCCTTTTCTGAATTTTCCGAATCCCGATCTGGTTGGGGAGTTGTGGACTTAATTGAATGCGTGAAGTGTTCAGTCATGGCGTTGGTTTGACTTTTGCGATCGTAATCTTCATGATCTTTATTATTTACCTGATCCTCTAAAAAGTCGTCTAAACCCTGAGGTAATGGCATATCCTCGCCTGCAAAAGGTGCCCACTCTTTCATCTTTGCAATGCTGGGCCCACACTTTTTTAGTGAGTCGTTAAATGAGGCAAAGTGTCCCTCTGAAAGTCTACAAACTACTTGTGCTACGACGGAATGAGTTTTCTTTTCCCGTTTTATAACCTGTTCTGTATACTCAGCTCGTACACGGGTGATCTCTGAGCCAACAGCTGTCATTGAAGACATGTAATTCTAAAAATAAAAGCAACCGATCAATTGACTATATTTTTGAAGGTACTATTATAATACATTGTACTACTTACGTTATGAGAATCCAGAGAAACCGTGGGATCTTTCTTAGATTTCTTTTCATAATCTTTTCCAATCTTTTTAACCTGCTTGTCCAGATCTTTAACATAATTGTTATGTGCTCTGTCATCTTTCTGTTATAATAGCAATGAATTAAGGTTGTGACACACAACTCGGTCAACAGATATGTTAATACACCTACTGTCACTTTTTTAGAATATTTATCCCAAAATCTTTGTAGCAGATCAAAATCTTTTTGTAATGCCTTGTTCTGAAAGCAGAGAAAACATTAATGACAATAGTAGCCATAGATGATAAAAAGCATACGATACATACGAGTTTTGACAACACTTCAGCATGACAATCATAGAATTGAGATGTAGTCTGCATGCACATTACTTTTAATGACCAGTAAAATCATTAGCTAAAATTTGGAATTACTGTCATAGCAAGGTATACGCAAGTAAAAAAAAAAAAAAAAAATGCTCACCGTGTTTATTTTCCAAACCTTTGCAATTCCCATAATCCCTTAAAGCGTTGCTAAAAGCTTTAGAAGCTTTGCTCAACTTATTCATCAAATCTCGATATGCATCGGCTGCTGTAACAAGTTGCTCCAACGCGTCAACAGCTTTTCGAACATCATCAACAATAGCCTGTGACTTTTTTTCAGTCGAATTATCTTGCGAAGGAAAATAACTAGAAAAAAATGTCGTTCCAGCGCCAGGAGATAAAATGGGTGATCTTGGTGGTGACCCAAATAACGAAAAACGTTTCTTCTTTTGCATCAAAGCCATAGGACAGTTAATTTCGGTACAAAAAAGAATGAAATGTCTCGAATTATAATAAAAGAAGACTTAAATGCAAACGCTGAAGCGATCAAAAAAAGGATTCGGTCGTATCGTCATAAAAAAAAGCGTTTATGTTAGGCATTTACCTAAATTTACAATAAAAAATATCTGAACTAATTTTAATGAATTATCGAAGGTAAATGCGTTAACATGACATGATAAACTCCGAAAAAGTGAAAGCAAAAAAATGAATGCAGATTTGAAGAATTTGATTGCGTTCTGTACGTTTAAGAATACGTACATACAAGTAAGGGGTGATAAGATCTACAAATTCTAAATTTTCGAATTTGCCCAAAACAGGAAGTGATGACGAAACTACATAAGGGGTTGGATTCCATATATAAGGAGCATGTAGCACAACTCAGCTTAAATCGCATGTCATAGACCTCATCTATCCCAATACAAATTTAACAGTGTACATACAAGAATGTTTATTCGTCCCGTTCTTTAAAGGCTCTGAACAGTAGATTTTAAATTCGCCACTCTTGGGTACTCATTTACATTGATGTGTAAATAAAATGTTTCGGAGGTTTAAAGGTGTAATGAATTGTTGCAGTCCACTGACACTTTTAAGCAAAATATCAAAATTTTAAAATAAATAGTAACTAATAGCGTACTATTAGGTTTACCAAAATCTTGTTAAATACCTTTAAAATTTTTTGACTTATATAAATCTTATAAAACTTTTTATATATATCTATTAAAAAAATTGTTTATAGATATAAAATAAAATCATTTGAAAAAATAATTATTATAAATTATTGAAACACTTTTATTACAAAATAATAATCAAAAATTGATTTATTGTATTTACAAATAATCTTTTTATGATTTTTTATTTCAGTAATGTCTAATTTAAAAACCATTCTTTTTTAATGATCAATAAATATCATTTAAATTATACAGTTTGATATAAAAGTTATCTGGTTTCTATTTAATATGTAATTAAATTAATAATACAATATCTTATATACATATATTTTTTTATTGTCAAATTCTTATGTAATTTGAAATTATCAAGTAATACAGTATAATTAAATCAAACAATAAAGCTTTAATATATATTTTATTGATTTGTATTAAATCAATTGTAATTTAATAGACCAATAATATAATTTAAATTAATATTATAATAATTTATTAAATAAACCAATAATATTGGTATTATTATTTCTTAAATTAATTAATTTATTTTTTCTAACAACCATAATTTTATAATTTATCAAGAAAATTTTATTTTATTTTTTCAATAAATTATTTTATAAATTAATAAAAAAGTTAATTTATAACTTTGTTGATTTAAAAAATAATTATTATTATTTAAATTATTTTTTATTATAATTAAAATTATATTTTATGTTGTATTTTATTAATAATTATATTTTATTAACAGTATGTAATATGTATATTAAATATAATAAATATTACAAAAATATTATTTATAAAATACTTTTTTGTTTTGTTTTTTAATATTTTATATTATATTTATATTATTAGTTATAAAATTTATTTTTTTAAATAATATACAATAAATTTTTTAAATTTAATAAAAAAATATAAACAAATTTTATAATATTAATATTAATTATTTAATTGATAATTTAAGTAATGTTTTTTTAATATAATTATATGGTTTATATAAAAATTTTTTAAATTTTTATTATATTTTATTTTGATTTATAAATTTATAAGTAATTAATAAACCAAAACAATATCTATATATTGTTTTTTTATTTATATAATAAGATTATCAATAAAATTAAATATAAAAACAAAAAGCTTATTAAAAATGAAAAATTATTTTTTTATTTAAATATTT